AAAAAAATTATGTGGATTGAAAATGTAATTCAATGTTCGTACTCAAAGTGGATAAACTTAACTTTGTGCTAAAAGGATATCTTGATGGACGTACTAAGACCATGTAACATGTCCAAGAGTCTGAATATGTTGAGTGGGAGACTACAGATAAGATGGCTAGTTGTTTTATTTTGATTTTGATGCCAAACATGTTACAACAAAATGTTTGAAAGTGAAAGTACCTCCTATGACATATAGACCCTCCATGGCATGTTTGATCATCAAAGTAGGAATTCCATTTTTATAGTCATTTGTACCTTATAGAATATTCGCAAAAAATCTGGAGATTCCATGAAGTTTCATAATTTAACTATGATTGCATACTTCAAACATGGCTGAAAGTCCGGATTCAACCATCAATTAAGGATACTTAATTTTTGATACTGTATTGAACTCTTTATTTGATAATTTTTCATAGTTTACTATGGATTATCACTTACACAAGATAAAGATACTATTGACTAAGTTAATGATTGCATTGTAATGTGGAAAGTGATCTTAATGGTACAATGGCGATGCTCGTGTATTATTTGGTGACTCCTCTAGTTGCAAGCCAAAAAGGCAGATTTGGAAAGAAGGGAAAGAGATCTATCAATAAGCATGAGAGTAATAAAGATCAAAAGTAGATGGAAAGCCATAATTCAAGTATTCCAACTACGATCGAAAAGGACACTGGAGAAAGACTGCCCAGACGTACCAACTAGAAAGCAAAGTGCGAGTAAGGCTTTTCGTTACTAAGTATTATTTAGTGGTTGACACTACAAATTCTTGAGTTATAGATTTTGAAACCACTAATCATATCTCATGTCAATGCAGGTGTTTCAAGAAAGAAGAAAAACTCAATAAATGTCAATTCAAAATCATCGTTAGCATAAAATCAATAGTTTTGGCAAGAACATAGGAGCATTGTTTTCATTTCAATTGTGGCAAGAGTTTAGTTCTTAGATATTGCTATTATGTTCCATGAACAAAGCAGAATTTTGATTTCCATTTCCGATTTAATAGGACAAAATTATTCGATAAAATTGGCATATGATACGCATTGCATTTTAATGAATAAAGTTCCTATTATCTTTGGGCATTTGATAAATAGTCTTTATAATTTAATTATTCCGCATAGGAAATAAAATTTACTTCTATAAACTGTAGACCATAAAATGTTGCATCATACTAGTGATATATATCTATGGCGTCTTGGACAAATCAATCCTAACAGAGTATAAAATTGACTAGAGATGACCCTCTCAACTTGGTTAAAATCGAACCATTATCAGTTTGTAATTCTTGTTTAGAAGGCAATATGACCAAGATATCTTTTTTCAACAAAAGAGATAAAGTAAAAAATGTACCGAAACTAGTGTATTCTGATATCTGTG